CACATTTCAGAACAGCCTCCAAGCATGCAGATGCTGAGCTACAACCATTCTGCTGATGTGCTATTTATTGCTTCCTGAGGTTTAGTGAGCTGTGGCCACTGCTGTGTGGAAACGATTCCATTGGTGGATCTGACAGTCGTGGGTCAGAGGGGTCATGCGCAGTCTTCTAGGTCATGTCCTGTCCTTCACAAAACTAGTCTCCTGTTGTCTCTGCTGTTTGTTGAAGCATGACATCTCATTCTCTCAGGAACCAGCTGAAAACAACCAGGCAATCTTCAGTATCAAACACTGATTGAAAAGACATGATGTGAGCCGAATGATTTTGTGCTCTTGATGAAAAGCCTAGGTTATTGCATTTTCTTTGCAGAATATTTGGAAAGATCTGTAAAACATGAATGACTTAATTTTTGACTATTAAGCTGCCAAATGCCTCTTTCAACTCCTTTGTTCCAAACAAAGGCGTTTTGGGAAGAATCAGTAAACAAGCACAAAGCCATAAATCAACACAACAGTGGATGATAGATAGGCTTCAGTCATGGCCTTTACACCATCACAGGCCATAGACAGACCACGCTTTCCTTTCAAACCAGTGCTAGTAAGTGCCACTTGCTACTTTTCATGCTGTAAGGTGCACAGCAGTAGAAGAAACTGCTTTATTTGGAAGAGTTATGTGACTGCCGCTGACAATTTCACATCCATCACATCAAGGATCAACTGCAGTTCCTATAACTCTGTGCCACGATATTGCAGTCTCAGTTAGTTAATAGCAAAACACAGACTTAACTTGCAAATCCAAACAATTGCCCTCCCTTGCTGAGTCACATAGGAATCCCACAGGTGTGCCTTCTTAACCATTGATGTAACTGACAAGACTAATGTTAAGAGAATATTGACAACTGGTCTTTGGATAAACAATTTCTATGTTACAAATCAATTTCATGCCAATAATTTTGTCTAATACCATACATTTGTTTATCATTTATGAAAAGTCCTGTATTTAATTTAAAGTACAAACTGTGCTGAAAAGCAATACATCTCCTATTACCAAGGAAGCCGACACTACTGAAGTGAAACAAAAAAGCAGCCCTTTGTGTCAAAAGTCCAAATGAGGAAAAAGCCCTCCAAGTTCATAACTTTCTTTTTTTTCCTTCTTTAGGAGTCAGTGTTGTAATCACAAAGCCTAGGACCCTGCTTTCTAGAACCCCAACCACAACAGAGGGAGTCATGAAAGCCAGCGTTTGGTTTCACTTACCACCGTTCTAACTCATTTCCTTCCTCACTGACCACTGCAAAATACCAAGGTTTGGCAGCAACTAAAAACAGCTGTCAAATGACCTTACGTTTTTTTTGCCTCCTTTGAATAATGATACTTCCTGAAATTAACGACAGTCCGAAACTGAGCTTTTCATAATTTGCTGAGCAAGAATTGTATATTACAAATCCACTGCTACATGTCTCGCCATCTGTAACGCAGAATCTCCTGTAAATAATTCTCCTTTCTGACTTGATGTTTTTAAGTAACATATTTCGATAAATGCACAGCAAAATGAAGCCCAGGACTAACTAGAATGGTTTATTTAATTCAAAGTGTTGATTAAATTAGCTTAAATTCTGAGAAAACACACATCAATACATTAAGGATTCTAGCGTTATGTTCCTCAGATAAGCATTCTTAATATTTGTCTCATGTGGCATTTTATACTTGACAGTTATGACAACCAGTACTCTTTGAAATCAATACTTGCAATTGTCAGGACAGGAAGATCCAAGTTGACTTCCTCAACAGGAAGGAAGGCCCCCTACATCTTGCTTCTGAAATATTTCTTTAAAGCAGTGTGATGTAAATTACTTAAATTCAACTTTTCACCTCTAATTTAAATTTTCAGCACGTACTGACCGATCCTTTGCACATTCAGTTGCAATTGTAAGTTTTTTTGGGGACGTCTGAAAAGCAGATGATTCCAAATCTAAATCTATAAAACAGTAAAGATAGAAACCGAAAAAGTCCAACTGCTTGTCCTGACTTCATTCCTACTTTTTTGTTCTTTTCGTCCATTAGTCACAGTAATGAATTGCTGTGCTGATGAGATGATTGTGCCATCATCACTACGCATTAATGGTATTACTGGTAAAAACTAAACTGGACCCTGTAATCCTAATTACAGGCCAATTTAGAATAATATTTTTTTCAAACTAACATCTATATATTGAAGGTTTACTTTATTTACTTTATTACTTCAGATATAGTTGAGTTATCTGTTCTTGTTTAATTGAATCTCAGTACTGCTTTTCACACTGTTAACCATCCAATCCTCCAAAACTGATTGGAGGCATATGTCGATATATTGAGACAACAGGATGCACAATTTTGATCGCAAGTCATGTGTAAAACTATAAACAAATTCAGTCTTAAAAACATGAACAAACAAAATAAGTGAAATTAAAGCCCAGAGCTCTACTATGACACTCACTACTAGACTCATAAAATAACATATCAACTGCTACGGCCTTTAACCAAGGTAGAAAACACATATTTACAAGGGACAATAAGGCACTTCAGCTGGGCTGTGCCACAGCAGCCACAGTGTTATAATGAACAATTTTAAAACACCTTGAAGATCTCCTTTTTATTCAATATAACCGAGTAAGATCATCTGCTATGCAAGGAAATCATAACCTCTATTCGGAGAGTTATCCAGAAAGGAAAGAACAAATGGAACGAGAAATAATCAAATCCAGTGCCCAAGAGTAAAGCTGCAGTTGCTGTCTACTCTTTCATCTTGGCTGGATAAAGCACAAAACCCTTTGTACCATTAAATCAGAACAGGAGAGAACCTCCTGCAATGCCAATGTAGTCAATATAATTTTATGGCCACCTGAAGGATAACCTGCTACCCAGTATAGTGGAGAAGTTTCAAGATTAATGAAAGAGGTCTGGGATTTTAGGTGAGTTATCTTCATCTCCAGCTCTCTAATGCTGTTTCAGTTCTGCCTCTGTGCAACCTGGGGGAACATCCAGCCTCTTTCATTCCTTGTGCTTGGATGATAGAACAGCTGCAAACCTCTCTTCCAGCTGCTGAAAATGAGATTGGATGGTCCTCAGAGCGGTGCAGGAAGCTTTGTCATCTGCAAAAAGATCCGTTTTCAGAGATACCTAAAGCAACCCTCAACTAATTCCGTCAGGGAGCGAAGATGCATCAGACAGCCAGGACAGCACTTGCTCTGGTAAGACTTCACACAAGAAGTCAGTGCCTGGAGCCTGTGCCTGGGTGGGGGGTAACCCAGGTCAATGACCGATGAATCACGCTTCTCTGATAGCTAGGTCATGAAAACCGTAACTGAAGATTAGTGTAACAAAAAAACTGATGGTATGTGAAGTCCTAAGATACGCCAAATTCTTTGTCAGGAGCCACCTGAACTTCTATTTGCAAAAAGCTGTACACTATGTTCATCGCATTTGTGCTAGACATTTATGTTTTCAGATACTTAACAATCACACAAAAAAACATCTTAAATATATGTGCAACAATCTAAAAACAACTTTCTTCACTTACCAGATTTGCCCCACACTGACAAGTGAGTGGTACAGAATCCACAGAAGTGTCATGATAATCATGTTTCCTCTTCCTGTCAGCAGTACAAAGGTGGAGAGGCCCAGTCCCACTAAGGCGATATTGTCTAAGTTCCTATCCATGTCAGTCCAGTCAAGGAACCACAGGATAGTAGGGGTGTAACTCAAGGCATCCAAGTTGATCTTTCCACCAACATATCGTTTCACATCGTTCAAGTACTGCTTGCATGGCAGCAATCCCTTCTTGCCGATTAACTGCTTGTTTTGGTTGTAGGCAACGCAGAAAGCTACAACTGTGGAAAGAGAAAATAAAAGTAATGGAATTAATTATTTCTAAGACTGATTAAAAATACTAAAGATCAGGATGGGGGTGATTTCTCAGTTCAAGGTTCCACTAAGGTGATTTCAAGTGGTTCTGTTTGGAGCAAACAATAAGGTTGGAGATCTTCACAAGCCTCCTAGCTCATAGGACCACTGCTTATCTTGATTGATGTACTGTAGTGTGAAATGTGGTTAGTGTAGATGTCGTTTGTCAGCAGCTATATCACCCTGCAACTCACAACTGCCAACCCACTGATGCTAAGCAGGTGTGAATCTAGCCAGTACCTAGATGGGACACCTCCTGGGAAAGCTAAGATTACTGCTGGAAGTGGTATTAGCAAGACAAGTAGGGAGCACTCACCCTGCAGTCTGTCTGCGTCCTAATGCTCAAGTACAGTGATGGTGAAACTATACTGGTAATAAAGGTGCCATCCTTTAGATGAGATGTAATACCAAGGTCCTAACTCTCCATGGTCATCAAAAATCCTAGGGCATTTCTCAAAAAGAATAGGGGTGATGCCCTGGGGTCCAGGTGTCTGCAAGTCTGAGTAGTGTCAGTAAGTTCTCTCTAGGAAATGAAAACTCTGTTATTAGCTTGAGGACTGCAGTGGGGTAGCTATTAGAGCAATTAGTTAAGTAACTGCTACTTCTCATTTCAAATTTATACAATGGTGAAAACCTCTGGTAATTCTACTCTGACTATTACTAACACAAGAGATACAAATTCTACACCCTACTGCATAGCATAACTAAAATGAAGATACAGATGGAAGGAAAAGACTATTTTAAAGGATGTGCCGGTGCAGATGGAGAACAGGCAAGTGAAAAAGCACTGAGATAATATCTGCAATTTAAAACTGCCTTCTCTGACCTCTAATTCGGCCTTGGGCACAAAGGTGTAAAATTACTTTAACAAACATGTTGAAAGACATAATCATTGAATAATACACTTTTAAAGTACAATTACAAGACATGCCAAATAAATAACAAAACATTTAACAAATAAGTAAACTCCGTTTAACTTGGGCATTGTTTAAAAAAACAAAAAACATACATTTGAATGCATATAAAATAGAATTAAAAAAGCAGCTTCCACTTGATACAGGTATACCGGGAAGCTGCAATTTAACTTCATGCTTAATTTCACTTCATTTAAATGATGCCATATGTGTAGAGCTCATCCTAAATCCCTAGCCTAGTCTAATCCAATTTTGAAGTATAGTCATTGGAATCCCTACGTTTTATAGGCCCATATTTTTAACATTGTATTTCAATAGTCACCCTTCCATCTCCCCTCCCCATTCTTAAAAAAAGAATTTCCTATTATCAGAATAATTCATGCTAATCTGTAAATAGACAGGCAGCTTTTGCACTACACCAATTTATTGTGCAGCTCTCAACATATTGAAAGAAAAAAAAACTCTTACCTACTGCTCTTCCTTATCACTGAAGCACAAAACCATGTTATGTTGCAGTAAAATACAAAAACGGAAGGGATAAAAATAAAGGCTTTGAATTATCCGAGCAGGCATAGCAATAATTTAGAGTCCCTCTCCCAGTGCCTACCCCTTCAGCACTGCTTCAGCTAACTGGCAGCCAAAAAGAAACATACCTTTTCTTTCATAGGAATCATTTTGATTAAAATCAGCCTACAATAAATGCATACAAAGACATCCTAACAAAGACAGCGATTTAATCTCTCTTCATATCTCTCTCTCCCCTGTGTCTCCCATTAATAGGGCTATTTTATTTAAGTGAACATGCATTGTTTTTTGTCCAAACAAACAGCCTACTGTCAGGGGTGAACTTCCTTTTCGCTGGTAAACCTGTGGCTAGCACTTAACAAAAGAGCCATTACATGGGCCGTATTTTTGGAACGCATATTGTGCCCGCATCAAATCTAACAAGAACAAGAGCTCTTTTGTTGCATTATAATGAGAGCATTCTCACTCATTCCTTTCAAAATTTCCGCGCACTGACTCGAGACAGCTTCACTGAAATACCTGAGATAACTACAAATCCCAATCTTTTGGAAGTACAGGCTATGGTGTCTTTTTTCAGTATGCCTCAATGCAGAGGCTGGAAACAAAGCTCTTAACCTATTATGCTAATTCTGGCTTCGCTTCACATCCAAAGGGCTTCCAGTGGATACATTTTAAGGCTTCAGTTTGGGCAAATTGAAAAAAAAACTTCTTATGCATTGTAATGAAGTTCAACATTATTGTATGTGAATATTAATGGAGCAAAGAACAATATCTGCGTTTCAATTAAAGCACAGAAACTGAGGCCATGAATGGAAAAAGGATTCACACTTAGTTTCTACTAAGTGGGACCTTTCTTTGGCTTTCAAAAAAATATTCCAGAATGTTTTTGTAAGTTTGCATAACTTTGGGGAACTGGCAATTTGAAATATTTTGTTTTCTTCAATGCAAGCTACTTTGACTGCATTCAAATAGCTGGGTTTCTCTGCAAACATGATTTCTTTTCTCATTTGGTCATAACATTTCAATATTACTGAGGTCAGTCGAATGCAATGACCTATCCTGCTATTTGATCCTTCTCCACTGAGCAAATTTACTCAGCTCTGTGTTTTAGATGGGTTCTGTGGTGACTTTGAAGCTATGCACAATGACCTCACAACTATTAGTTAATTATTTGAGCAAGCAGTGCATCTTGGTATTTGGCAAAATTAATTTTTGGCTCAAACTAATTTTTGAATTCACAAAGCCAAGACCCAGAGGGCTGAGACTGGAACTGGTTTGGTGAACTGAACCACTGAGGAAATGGGTTTCAAAATGAAAAAGTCACTGCACTCCTGTTGATTCTCATTGTAAGAAATAAAGGACATTATCTAAAAAGCTTTGTTTTTTTACAAACAGGAGATGTTTAAACTAAATCTCACTTCTTTAAATCTGTAAATCATGGCAAATCCTTGAATTGCTGATTGAGACAATCTCCAGTACTATTGACATCTAAAAAAATTGTAATTGTAATTAGATTTTTTTTCCATAATGCTAATCCAAATGTTATCATTCTAAAACCCTATTAGTTTGCAAAAGCCGCAAGTACATATTAATCCAGATCTTGCTGGAGACTATTTGAGGTGATGGATCTGATGACTTCTGAAATCCCACTTTAGCTTGTCAATAACATGGGCACCATGCTAGGACCTAGCTTTTAAATGAATGGTGAAACACCACCTCCAAACTCTGGAATCATAACAAAGAAATATTCACTCGAAGGGCCCCATATTAACACCAAGGCCTTAAATCCCCAATCTGAACATCTATGCGTTTTGTGCATTATGGATTTGAGAAGCTAGTTTTCCAGCCACTGATACCTTGCCTATGTAGGTATTTCTGTACTGTTCCCTTGCAATCTTGTTTACAGAACCTTCCAGATTAAGCTACTTTGATAACTGAGGGGTTTACAGGCTCCTCAAACAATCCGTCTTTATGCCTTTACAGAAATTATACTCGGTCTAAGAAACAAGCCTAACAGACTGCAGGACTTAGCCATAAATGAGAAACCGCTTAATTCATCTGTCCGTAAGTTAAGAAATACCACACATCTCCTGCTGGTACTGAATAAACTTCTCAGTGCATCACATCTTCAATGTCCCCCACTAGCAAAATACCGAAAATGTTTATCTTGAAGAGTATTCATGTCATGTTGTAGTAGACCTGCAAACACACTTCATGTGTTCATTTTCAGTCATCTTTCATAATATTTGTGTAGGCTGGGAATTCTTGGTCAGTGCTTGCAAAAGGCACAGCCTGAACTCAAACCCCTTTAACGTTTTGTCTTGAAGAATTCATTCTACATTGGATGGAGAATGCATTCACTGTGACTCACTTTAATGACGACAATTAAAGTGAGTAATTGGGACAGGTTTATTACCATTTTATTAACTGTGAAAGTGTCCATGAAGATCCTACAAGATCTGTTTAAGATGTTAGCATCCATCACTGACCAATGTATCTTTTTTTGCCTCTTTATACTTTCTATGCAAAATCTCTTTTTTAAGATGGAAGTTAGGCTTTTCAAAGTTCTTAGCTAGTCAGAAAAGTGCAGGGTTGACAAAGACAACTGTGTAAATTTTTATTTCACCACTGTGTATTTTAGCATTGTGTGGAATACCAAATAAACTGTGATCTCACAGTCCAATGCTACTCCTTCCTTTAATTTGTATAAGATGGAAATGCAATACTACTTAAACTCAATCAAAAATATGGAAAATAACAAAGCAGAATACACAATTGATGTATATAAAAATATTAACTTGTTGTTTTAAGATTTGTAATTACCTCGGTTTGTTTTCTTCACTTTTCTTTTTTGGATACCTTTTCTCCTATACTTGTATTATTTAATGTTAAACAAAACATGAGGAAAAAAAAGAAAGGAAAAAATAAACTGATCTCCTCCAACAATCGCCAAAGCCAAAGTAAAGCTATTACAGCAAGACGTTAGTGAGGATGTGTTATGCTGTGTTTAATGTTATTACACAGTAGTTATGTTTCACAAGTTTTGTTTTTTGTACACACAGCACACTGTGCTTGTATTGTTGAGAGTTTTGCATTAGATCCTCTTCCGGTTGAAAGGGGAGAGGAGACAGTCTGGGGGAAGGTCAACCAACCGAGTTGTTGCCATTTGTTGTTTATTATATTAATTTAATATTTATATTAATTTAGTCTGTTCCCGGGCAAAATAAAAACTCAATCCGTGATATGTGGATCTCGTCGCCTTTATCAACACCCACGCTTAAACCAGTTTAGGACAAAACACTCACCTACCGACAAGACTGTACAGTGTCTAATGCACTGAGCACACAAACATCACTTTCCAACCGACCTACACGCTGCCTTCTACAGAAGTTAGAGAAGTTAGCATGTACATTATTCCCTTAAATCATAATAAATAATCCACTGTACACCTCTATGCAATGTAAAAAAACAGACAGCAAAGTGCAAAGGACAGCGCTGTTTAATAAAATCTTCCCAAATTAATGTGTTGCCACTGTACATGTCACTTTGAATTAATAAAACCGCAAAGAAAACAGGTGTATGAGAAGCCAATGAGAGTAAATAAACCCAACTCACAGTAAATAAAAGCAATGGATCTAAGCAAAGCGATCCGTGTCAGCCAATACGTCCCGGGTTGTAACGGAAAAGCCCCGCTCTGTTCGTTTTTAACTTCTTCCCCTTCACCGTCGGTCTGATTTTTACTCAAACCAAACTCTGGCTTGGACGAGGCAGCTCTCCTTTTTCTTACTCTGGTCTCTTCACCTGGCGTGTTGCTGGAGGCTGCCATGTTTGCTGCTCTCACTGCGCAGGCGCGGGACTCGAGCCCGTGCACGGGTCTCGCTGCTATTGGTGGAAGCCGCAGTTCGGAGCCGCGAGCGCAATTACGAAATCGGGTCCAACTCCGAGACGCGCATCTCCCGCTGATGAGAGTGATTTTGGATCCCAGAATATACAGTACATACATGCAACTGTTTCAAAAATTAAATTAATAGATTTGTTCAGCTTTTTAAAATTGCATCATCATTTCACGGTTTGCATAATTACAGTATGTCTACACTGCAGATTATTGGAGTTTACAGTTAGTTTATTAGAGGCATAAACTAATATAACAGCTGTAAATCGATTATATGTCCAGCGATATACATAGCTGTGTTTTGTTTGAACTAAGATATTATGTGATCGTCTTTGTTTTAAGATGGGCTTTTCGTTTCAGTGTATGTGAGGACAAGGTATACAAATCCGACAAAGAGTGGATAATATCTTTAAAACGATTGTATCATAACATTAGGATCGAAACAGACACATCTGCGTTCCGTTCTTAAGCCGATATCTGGCGGCGTAACTGCAGAGAGAATGACCCAGGACTTTGCAGATCAAGTGCTCGCTGTCTCTTGGCCGAAGGGAAAACACATTCTTGTACCCGGGCACTTTCTAAAATGAAAGCCGTCTCCTCAGGAATCACGTGTAACTGGGGTTGTGTTATCATATAAACAGTCTTGAGTGATGAGCGTCCTGACATTCCAAGTAGGAGACTGTCAGTTTTATGACCGTGCGAATTAGACAAACGAGGCTGTAAATCATAATAACAGTCCTATTTTATTGGTAATTATACATACATATATCTGACACTTATTGGATTTACGCGACTAAATTAAGAGACCCCTCACCACATAATCAAAAACACATTGATTTGAATTGGTGAAGTGGTCCCACCGTGCTTTAGATAGCTTATACCTTTACAATTGTGTATCTCCATATCAAAAGGGGTTTGATTTTATGTTAAAAATAATTCACAAATGAGAACATGAGCTCTGCAAAGCTGTTCAAAATAAAGCTAATTTGTTTGAATTTCTAAAATATATACAAATTATAATTAAGTAAATTAATTACTTTGTCGCCTAAATGAATTATGTGCTGCCAGTGGTCTATTATGTTAATTAAATGTAATTAATTCATATTTTATATGTGAAATTCTAGATGCTCTTCATTTCATATATTACACATCCAATATTTTTGTTGATCATAATCGTGAGGAAAGAAAGATTATTTATGGAAATAGGTAAAAACAGCATCCTAAATAATACTTTATTTGTCTAATATATGATTTTTTACTATTATAGACCAACCACTTTTGTTTCAAAGTGTTAAAACTATTATGAAGAAACTCACAAAATTATTTAAAACCTTCTGACATCACCACGAAAAACTTTAGAATGCCAAATAACTTTTTTACCGGTGTCACATCATGTAACTGTAAACTCGTTTTTAATATATTTAATATCCGAGTAAAATACTTTCAGAAACAAAAAAAATAACCTATGCGAAACTCCTGTGTAGCTTTTAAAACGTCTTTTTCCAGGTCCCGTGCGCTATGAACTTGCTGGAATTCGATCAGCTGTTGCAATGAAGATTCTAGGCCTCCCCTAAGAAACATCTTACAAGGTAGAACTAAAAAACGAAGTTACAATGTAGGAAACAGACTGAAATCAGCATATTTTCATTCTGTGCTAGGGATTAAAAATATACTCAATTACAAAATATATCAGTATTCGTACAGATACTGTCCGTGAACGTGTTTGTGACTATTTCATACTTTGATCATTGATCTACATTAATTGATTCAATGGGTATAAACCGGTCAATCGTCGGACTTGAACACGTTGGTAACTCAATTGACAACTATGGTGATTATTGTTAAGGTTATTCAACAGTACTGTATCGAGTTATCGATTAAAACCTACGTGTACCTCTAGGGATAGAATCATAATATCGTCTTCGACTTTTCCCTGTGAAATATTTCACACCGAAGTGTTCAAGAGCGCAGCCAGTGGGTTGTGTGGTGGTATACACTCTTACTAAACCTTTATGAAACGTGATATTCAGTAAGATCTTTCAAAACCATTGGTTTTTTTTTTTCAGTTCGTGAATGATTATTGATTGTTAATCGATCAAAGAAATAAAAAACGTTGGTCCTCATTTTATAATGTCAACAGGATTTATAACTTTGCTTATCTGTTACAAGTGAGAAAACTAATAAAATCGTATTAAGCACTTGTCAAATCCTAGTTGTCACTTGTCAAAGCGAGCGCCCTCGTAGTAATTTGAGACAAACCATTTCTTGCAATCCGGAGACATTTTCATCGAGTTTAGTTTCGTTCAGCGATTTAATATTTCCTCTCGTTTTATTTGGTGGTTTTAAGAGCGGATTTTAACTCGTTTAACTTTCGGTATTCTATACACTAACGCTTTAATAAAAGTGTGTGCGATTCTATACATCCTACTTTATGTCGCAGTTTAGGAGAAAAAAACGAGAGAGACGTAGAACACACAAAAAAAGTTTTTTTTTAGATTTTGTCAGCAAGCTGTTTCTTTGTTGTTTTATCAACGACAAATCGATTTTGCGTCTCTACATATCTATAATCTAAATTAAGCCCTTAAATTTAGTTTATTTTTAACTCCTAAAACCAACGTAACAAAATAAAGCGTTTGCTTTCTAGAGCAAAGACAAAATGTTTATGGTTTAAACGTGTTTAAACTATGTTCCAGATTTTGTTTTTTTATTATTCCTTATATAAGGATAAAGTGGATATGGTAATACATAAATATAAAGTCATTAAAATAAATATTACCGCTAACATATTTCCGATTTCAATTCTTGTTTTATAAATATAACAATATAACTATAAATAATACGCTGGATGTTTGCAAAACGTGTTTCAAATTGTTACCGTGTGTTGCTTTTGACTTACTGGGTAAATCGATGGGTAAATAATACCGGGAGTCAGAGTACAGCCCAAAGTAAAGCCCAGTTATAACTAAGGACGGCAGTCTTATTGCAGCGCTAGGAGTCGGAGAAGAAATCAGGAAGCCTCAATCAACACTTTTCTTGATTCATTCCTACATTCTCTGTATTTACCAAGTGAAATGGTTCATCTTCAGCCTCAGCAACAGCGTAGCGATATCCAGCATCAGGAAGCTAACTGTTCAACGTGGCCTGAGTGGTACTTTATGAAAATCATTTAGCTTGAACAGACAGTCTCCTAATGGTGATTAAGATGCTTTTTTAAAATGTTTGAAGTACCGAACGGAAGGGCACTGGAATTTACACATACACAAATAATTAAAAAGGAAATAATAGAATTAAAGGTTTTTTAAGGGCGTTTCAAAAACACCTCTCGGGAAGGAAACGGTTCTAGGGTTCTTCTTCTGGTATCTCTTCAGATCTCACATCTGGACTGCACGGTGGCGACGCAGCAGGGGCCTCGCCTGCCCGTGACCCTGAATCACTGGTCCTGATGCGAGTGACGTCACGACGATAGCCCCAAGCCGGTGGCACTCTTGCACGGAGAGACGGCGCCCAGATTTCCGTTAAGTCCTATGCGTGTTGTGTAATTGGTTTAATTAATCATTTCTCTAGCTTGCAATCATTAGGATGTTGCAATCATTAAGATTAGGATGATAATCGTGTTTATGGTATCGGGTATATAACATGTATCTATGGGTTTGCGTGTATGTGAGGCACATTGTCAGTGTCTTAAGAACAGTTACAAACGACAGGACCCATTTAGTCCGTTTGGTCGTTAGTAGTTAATCGATCCAAGGATATCGGCTTCAACAGCATGGCTTGCTCCACACTCCCACAACACTTCGGACAAAGTAGTGTCTCCTGTTCTTGCTTTTTAATGCGCTTCCTCGGAGTTTCCACTCGTGCCCTTTGGTTAGTACCGGCCTGTGAAAGTCTTTCTGTGTTTTTGAACCCGTATTCGGAGCGCAAAAGGGGGACTCGCACTGGCTAATCTCGGAAATATTTTTTTTTAATTAAATCGTTTAATGTGTGATGTAGCTTTCTTCTTCGATTCGCTCGCTCAGTTTGCTCGATTTTTTTTTTTCGTTCGCTTTCTTGTTGCTTTTGTCGGGTATTGTGTTGTGCTCGCAAAGCGCTTTGACTTTCTCGACAAGGGCTCATAAATGACATTATTCTTCAGGACACACGTCTTCACCGGCTTGTCCTGTATGTGCAACAAGAAGATACATTTCAAGTCGAATGATTGCATGATTATTATTATAATTATAATTATTACTGGTCTTGTTAGTAGAAGGCCAAGTTAATAGTTAATAAGTTGTAGTGGGTTCATTGTAATAGGCTCAGACTTTAATCATTAGTATTCCTATTCACGGTGCATTTGGTTTTGGTATAATGAAAACATGAATAATACAGCTAATATATCAATGCCTTCAGATACGTCAGGTCTCCTGAAAAAATCGGCCTTTAAAACAGTCGAGCCAATCACTATACAAAATGGTGATATCGAGCGTCCAATCACAGCGAGGAAGGTGGGGTGAACTGGGAAAAGCTCAGACAAAGTTCCCCAAACTAGTCGCCAAAGGGACAGACTGGACAGACTGCAGCGAGGAGGAGTAAGGGAGCAAGTGTCCAGTAGAGGAAGGAAAAAGGAAATTGTCAAGTCGCCTACCAAGAGGCTTTTATTTCTATTCCAAAGATTATCACTTAAAATGAGAGACTGTGCGTTAAACAGGCTACATATGCAGCGTTATTTCTACTAAAACTAGAAGTGGCATCTCATGAGAGATTTTGTTAACGCGCTGCATATAACCTACAGTTAGTCGTCAGAGAAGGACACGGTGTAACAGCCAGGTTCGGGATTTTTTACAGCCAGATGTTAAAAATGACGGAAGAGCACGACAAGTCCCTCGCCGATCCCCCCTGCAGCCCCGCGGGGACGACCAGCTCCATGTCCCAGGAGGACTCCGACTCCGACGCCCCCCTGTCGCCGACTGGATCGGACGGACCCGGGTCCCAGCACAGGCTGGGGAAGAAACTGGAGGGCGAGGAAGACGAGCGCTTCCCCGCTTGCATCCGCGACGCCGTGTCCCAGGTCCTCAAAGGTTACGACTGGTCGCTCGTCCCGATGCCGGTGCGGGGAAGCGGCTCGTTGAAGAACAAGCCGCACGTCAAGAGACCCATGAACGCCTTCATGGTCTGGGCGCAGGCGGCGCGCAGGAAACTCGCGGACCAGTACCCGCACCTGCATAATGCCGAACTTAGCAAGACCTTGGGCAAACTGTGGCGGTAAGTCCCACCGCAAAGCTGACTTTCCTGCATGTGCTCTGTCCTGCTTCCGAGTGGATTTCAACGTGCTTTCGCGAAATTCTCAATGGGCTGAGCAACACTAGTTGCGTTTCTTAAATCTGCGTTTTAACGGTACAAGGTCTCCTGTGTTTATGGTAGTAGACAATACTTAAAAATAACCCTTTTAGTCTTTGCTGTTGTACACACGCCAGATATACTATATATGATTTTACATTTTCGTTGTATGGTTTTCAATTGCATAGATGTTACTTTAATATAGCCTCTATATTAAAGTAGCGTCTATGATATATGATACTAAAATATTTTTTCACTTGGAAATAATACATTTATTTCCCATGAATGCAAAAGGTAAAAACTGCACGACTAGAACTACATTTTTGTAAAAATCTGTATCTGTTGGTTGTCTCAAGATTAGAACAATGCGTTAACCCCGTAAAATGTAAAATGCGGGTTTAAATGGTTATTTTGTACTTCGAAGACTTGAGAGGTGATTCGAACAGTACGAATATTATGCATAGATCCCCATACTTTATGTCTTTTTACATAAAGGCCCGTGTAAGTCATGTAGTTGAAACGTATCTTTCAAATGTAGATGTATCGGTACAGATGCCACTCGTTGATTTTAAGATTTGTATTTTTTCTGTTACTTTAATTTAATAAACTTTTCCCGCTGATGCAACTCAGACTCACATGCAAACTGATAATAAAGGTTTGTAAAGCGGTCATGGTTTGAGATGAAGCGAGAGCTGAGAGTCTTCTGCCAAATATTAAATATTATCCCGTCTATTTCAGTGAACGGTACTGGGAAAATACATTGTATAATGTCTTTAACTGATTGAAATAAAAGGCATAATGCTATCAACTGTTGTTAAAACCAGATTGTTATCCGAGAGCGAGAAACGACCCTTCGTGGAGGAAGCGGAGCGGCTGCGAGTCCAGCACAAGAAAGATCACCCGGACTACAAGTACCAACCCCGCAGGCGGAAAAGCGTTAAAACTGGACAAAGCGACTCCGACTCCGGGGCCGAACTGAGCCACCACCCCTCCAGCCAGATCTACAAGTCGGAGCCCCTGGGGGGGTTGGCCGACGGTCACCATCACTCCGACCACGCAGGTACGCTAACACTTTGAAACCTGGCTCAGAAATACTGCAAACGCGAAGTCCGCCTGGAGATTTTAGACTTAAAAAGAGGCAGAAAAACGTGTAAAATGGACCACGCGTTTCTTTTCTTACTTTAATTCTCTGTTGTTCAAGACAATTGAAAACGGAACTCAAGGTCCCCAACTATTGAGTGTAAACGTTTAAGACGTTTCAAGTGCGTTTTGTGCTTTTCAAAACTCAATTTTCAAGTTTCAAAACAAAACTAAACTAAAGGTAGGAGCTTCAGAAGCATGGCGTGTAGTACACACTTTTTAAGCCCTCCTGCTAACTGGAGATAACGCCTCTCAAAAGTTTCAAATCACGATTGTTGCCTAGTTTAAAGTCCCCCCCACGGGCAAGATTAATTTAGCAAGTCTAACATTTTGTGTTGGTTAGGCCAATGTCCATCGGGCTTCGTGTCTCAACTTCCTTCTGTTTTTCTCGCTCGTTGCCAAACAGGGCAGCCCCACGGCCCCCCGACGCCCCCCACCACCCCCAAAACGGACCTCCACCAGGTCAGCAAGCAGGACCTGAAGCACGAAGGCCGGCGCCTGCTGGACAGCGGCCGGCAGAACATCGACTTCAGCAACGTGGACATCACGGAGCTCAGCACCGACGTCATCGGCAACATCGAGGCCTTCGACGTGCACGAGTTCGACCAGTACCTGCCGCCCAACGGCCACGCCGCC